TATTTATCTGATCTTCCAATTGTTTGATTTGAGCAGCCATAGTGGCCACAGAGGTAATTACTTGCTCATTTGTGTCTATATCATATACTCTTGTCTCCCAATTTTTCTTAGGTCCAGTTTCCCACTGAACCTCACTATCAGATACTGTTTGAACATCACTTTCTTCCTCAGTTTCTACTTCTCGTGACTTCCCAAACAGAAAGTTACCCATGTCTTTGCTTATTTTATCAGACACCTTACTTATGCTGAGCAAAGTTTCTTTATTTTTTTTGCAATTTTTTTGGCCCGGGCTGGGTTTGAACCTGCCACCTCAGGTATATGGGGCCAGTGCCCTACTCCTTGAGCCACAGGTGCTGCCCGAGATTTCTTAATTTTTAAATTGGCCAAAGGTCCCACTTTCCCTGAGTGGAGTTTCCCTTTGGACTTTCCCCCACTGTCTGCCAAAGGCCTCACTTACATCCGAGTGTTGATTTCTCCTTTGGTCCATGACCCTGGTGTCCTGTTGTGTCCTGCTATATCCTGCCTACTTACACCAAAATGTCGCCCCCTGTTGGGCCCCTATGGCCCAGGTCTCAGTTACCACAGGAAGGAACCAGGCAAGAGACGGACTAGAAGTACAAGCTTGTGGGAGACGGGCTAGCCCTTACTTTCAGGGTAGCCTTGAGCAACCTCTGCACCAGCCTTTTATTGAGACAGAATAATACAGGTGAGGGGAGTAATTAACAATGACTACATGTTGAAGGCACGGGCTTCTTTCTCCATAAGGAGCTCCTGTGGACAAGTCACCCGAGAGTCCACCCCCAGCTGTGAATCATCTTGCTTAGAAGTCGTCTGTCTCTTGGCATTCTCTATATCCATCACACATTTTTCTATTGAATTGTTAGTTCTTCCTCGTAATGACTTTAAGGAACTCCTTTTCTTTTTTTTTTTTTTTTAGAGACAGAGTTTCACTTTATCACCCTCACTAGAGTGCCTTGACATCACAGCTCACAGCAACCTCCAACTCCTGGGCTTAGGTGATTGTCTTGCATCAGCCTCCCCAGTAGCTGAGACTACAGGGGCCCACCACAATGCCCAGCTATTTTTTGTTGCAGTTTGGCTGGGGCTGGGTTTGAACCTACCACCTTCTGTATATGGGGCCAGCACACTACCCACTGAGCCACAGGTGCCACCCAAGGAACTCTTTACAAATAAGGGATATTAACCCTCTGTCTGGAGTATGAGTTGTGACTATGTTCCCAGTTTGTGAAATTTGTCCAGCCTGCTGTGTGTATCTTTAGCTCATTCATATTCATTGCTGGGTAGTAGTCAGTTGTATCATTATAACCACATTTTTTTTTTATCAGTTTTACTGTTGCTGGACATCTGGATGCTTCCTAGTTTGGGGATGTTACAAACAGTGCTGCTGTGGAGATTTGTGTATGTGTGTCCTTAGCCTCCTTCCTTGCCTGGCCTGCGTCCTCTACTCCTCTGCTGGTCTACCCAGGAGCACATCCTTAGTAAGTCATTTACACATGAATTTCCATCTGAAGGAATCAAACCTAAGATAGACAATGATGCCTTTGGTCATGTTGGGCACAGTGGAGGCACAGTGGAGAGGCTTCGACTCCTCACTCTGTGAATGACCAAATGGAGACACCAGGGGTGCTAATGGCAACAGGAGGACACCTCTCCAGGACTGAGTTCCCTGATCGTCCTGTGAGATGAGCCAGGGTCCTTTTCAAAATACCTTTGCTTATGCTGGGAAGATTGGGAGAGAACAGAGTGAGCAGACAGAGCCAGGATCCCATCCTGAAGCAGGAGTGGAACTGGAGATTCTAAAAGAGAGTGTGGATCCTGGGGCATGGGAAATTATGATAACCCAAATCCCAACCGTGGCAAGAGAAACAGTTCTGAAGGTGAGTGGTGAGATAATGCCAAGTGTGCAGCCCAACAGGGCCTGGCTGACAGCTGTGAGGTGCCCGAGCCCAAAACAAGCTGGGGGCCAGGAAAGCCAGAGCAGCCCCTAGAGCAGGGTTTTGCAACCTTTTTTTATCTTACAGCACACTTAAATTATGTGGATCAAAAAAAAAAAAAAAGAATATACTTAACTGTGCTTCAAACTTCTTTCAAATGAAATTTAATTAATGACCTTTAAAATTTTTTGCATCACACCTAAGATCCTTTCATTGCACACCAGTATTCCACTGCACACTGGGTGAAAATCCTTGTCCTACTGCAGAACTTCTGCGAAGCCTTTTCACTGCCCAAAGCACGATTGAGCACAGGGGCGTGGGCACAGGATGAGGAGCCGGCAGGGACCCTCAAGGAGCTACTCTGGCAAGAATACGGTGAACTGGAAAACTCCTGCTGACAGTGCAGGCCTCAGCCTCATGTCTTCTCTATCCTGGACTATCCCTCACCCCAAACCAGGTTACCAACCCTTGTATCGTGTTTCACAAGGTGTTATAGTTTGCCCAGATCCTGAGCTCCATAAGGCCTGGGAATCGGCGTCTTATTCACTGCCCAGTGCAGGGCCTGGCACAGTCAGTGCTGATAAAATGAGGGGGACATATAGCCTAAGAGCCATGTGAAGATTGGCGTTATCCTTGTGAAGGTGTCACCTTGCAAACCCAGATGAGCTGTTTCCAAGAGCATCAGAGGAATTTTCTGCTTAAGTCTCTGAGCAACTGTTTATTTACATTCTGAGTTTGCACAGGAGGAGATGGGGCCATTGAATCAAAGTTGCAGAAGAAGGATCCTAGAATGCCCCTGGGTGGCTCGGTGTTCACACTAGATCACACTAAGAGAAAGATGATTTATCAAGTGGTTTATTGGTGTCAGTCTCTTGAGGGGCATCAGGAAGGCCCACGAAGACATCAGGCTGGCACCTGGAGATGACAGGCTGAAGCTTGGGTGCACCAGGAAGGGTCACATATATGAAAGGGGAGCCCCAAAGTCAAGGTTCCAGCCACAATAGCCTGGTGCCTTTAGAGGGGAATGTGTTGTCCCTGGGTATAGTGAAGGGGGTGCTTAGAAAACCAGATGATCAGGCAGAATCTAGAAGACATCTGGGCACTTACAGAAGAAGGTGAGGAGTTTTAACTTTGTTACTGAAGTATAATACTCTTTAGAAAAGCAAGACTCTTCATGAGTTCACAAAGTGAACACACCTGCATAACTGGCACCAGACCAGGAAACAGCACATTCCCAGTCCCCTGACCGCCCCTTTATGGTCCCTTCCACTCTCTCTCACAGGTAATAACTATTTAGATTTCTATCACCATTGATTAGCTTTGCCTATTCTTGAACTTCACAAAAATGGACTCTCACAAGCTGTGCTTTCAGCATCTGGCTCCTTTCTCTGGACACTGTTGGAGGACATCACCCATCGTGCTGCGTGTAGCCGCTGCTCAGGCCACTGCCGCATGATATCCCGTTGTGTGAACATGACGGTGGATTCAGCCATTCTGTTGTTGATGGGTTGTTTCCAGTTTGGAGCTGTTATGAATAGCCTTGCTGCGAATGTACTCATGGTGGACATAGCCCTTGTTCTTCTTGAGACACCCAGGGGTTAAATTTCAGGGTCACAGGTAATTTAAATTTAATAGATATGGTTAGTTTTCCAAAAGTTGTTGTACACACTGTTTAATTCCATTTATATAAAGTTCAAAAATAGGCAAACCAAATCTATGATGTTAGAAGTCAAGACAGTGGTTATGCTTGAGTAGGAGGTGGGAGGGGAACTCTGGGGTGCAGTAATGGTCTCTTTCTTTCCTCTTCCTCCCTTCCTCCCTCCCTCCCTCCATTCCTTCCTTCTTTCTTCTTTCTTTCTTTTCTTTTTTTTTTCTTGACAGAGTGTCACTCTGGGTAGAGTGTAGTGGTTCACCACAACCTCAAACTCCTGGGCTCAAGCTATCCTCTTGCTTCAGTCTCCCAGTAGCTGGGACTATAGGAGCCTGCCGCAACACCTAGCTAGTTTTTCTATTTTTAGTAGAGACAGAGTCTCACTCTTGCTCAGACTGGTCTCCATCTGAGCTCAAGCAATCTGCCTGCCTCAGCTTCCCAGAGAGTTAGGATTATAGGCATGAGCCACTGTGCCCAGCCTGTTTCTTGATCTAGGTGCTCATTTACATGGGTGTTTATGTTTGAACTATACCCTTATAATAAGATACACTTTTCTTTATGTGTGTTACACGTCAATTAAAAGTTTATTTAAAAGTCTTAAGGCAGCTTCAAACCGCTTGGAGTAGACATGACTATAGCCTCTCTGCAAATTCTCCAATCCCAGATGTTCATGTGTCCCCTTGAAGATACACAGAAGACTCCCAAGGCAAATGTTCCCAAATCCCCCAGCAGCCACCCCTTTCTGTGGCTACCTGTGGTCCTACTCAGACAGCCCCAAATACCTGGCTGCATTTGGCTGCTCTCTCCCTGTCCCCCCTCTGGATTTAACCCCTGCTTTCCCTTCCGCTCACCAAGAATGAACAAAGTGCTTCCTGAGTGCTGACCTACTGCATGCCAAGCACTGTGCTGGTCACTGCAGGCGGCAGAGGTGAGCAGCACTCAAGCCTCAGGGAGCAGGAAGACACACAAATCACTTTAGCAGAAGGTAAACACCATGCAGTTGCACCCCCAGCCACCTCCTGCAGATGGTCTCTGAGAATAAACCTGAGTAATGTTTGAATCCTCTGTGCTCTGGCCCAGCAGTTTGGGTCTCAAGAAAGAGATTCAAACCTGTTGTGTCACAGAAAGGAAGTTTTTTGGGAGAGCATGCTGCACAGGCTCCCAGGAGGGCTGTGGCAGTTGGGCTCAGAAAGGAAGGGGACCTGGACAAGAGAAAGGGTACACAAAGCTCATCTGCCCTCTAATTTCTTCCCAGTCTGTTGTCTCCTCCGCCAACTCCCCACTACTCTGTTTCTCACCACAAACCCTACAGTGCTGGGCTCTCTAATCCTCCTGCCATCGGCCACCATGCTACAAGAGAGTGACCAGCCTGCTCAAGAACGGATTCTCTCAGTCCCTGATTTCTTGAGAGCTCTTTATTCCTTCTTGGTAATGCTCATCCTCTTCAGCAGCCCCTGGCACATGGGACTCCAGGAAAAGGACAAGAGCTCACTTGGTCATAGAGAGGGAAGCCCCTGGAGCAGAAACAAGGATGCTGACGACATCCATGCCTGCCCACCATGTTCAGAAGAGCTGGGAAGGCAGTGCTCAGCCCTGGAGGTGGGGGTAGTGGGAAAGGGGGCACCTCTTCCTCCAGGGGCTGGTGCAGGGATGTCTATTCAGGCAGCCTCACTGTCTGCCACAGCTCTCCCAAGGGGCCACCACCTTTTCTTCGTTTCCTCAGTAGTACTTTGTGAAAGGGACATCCCTTCCAGGAAGCCCACAGCCAGAATGTCAAAGGGCATGCTCCAGCCTTCAGCAGACAAGCGCTGAGACCGAACACGGCCTGCTGGTGGCATTGACACCAGTGTCTTAAGTCCCAGGCATAAGTCCACAGTTGGAAGCCTTTGGAAATAGAATTTCCAAATATGCGCTGGGTGCAGCATAAAAACTACATTTCCCAGCCTCCCTTGCAGCACAGAGTGGCCATGAGGGTAAACTGAGCCAATGGAAAAGACATGTACAATTCCTGGGTTGTGTCCCCAGTGGGAGTGGGAGTGCTTTCTACTTCCACTCTCCCCTCTGCTGGCTGGAGTGAACGTGAACAGTGGGGCCGTGACCCTCACATTTTAGGATAGAGAAATAAGACAAAAAGATCTCAACAACTCAAACCGCTGTAACATAGCCAGACTGGCATGGGAGAGAAAAATAAAATTCTATCACATATTTGGTCTCTTATTAGAGCAGCCTGACTTATATTTTGCCTAATATGGGGGCCTCTGTGGGCCTGAGGACACAGAATGCTCCTCTTCTATTTGAATCCATCCAGAAAGTCCAGGGGGAGCTTTGGGGGGAGAGACGTGAAGGGGCAGGGCCCCCTTTGGAGAGGAGGAGGAGAGGCAGGAAAGAGTGAGAGAAATGGATGATGCGCCCTACTTGCTTCTCTTCAGAGTCCCCGAGAGTCAACATCCTCCTGGGTAGGAGTGTATCCCCACTCTCACTACCCATCTTCCTGGGGGCAAGAGGCTTGGGGGCCAATCATAAAAAGTCAGATGTCACAGAGCTGTTTTCCCAGAGGCAGGCAGAACTCAGAGCTGCCTTACTCATGTTCCGCGGGCTGGGTCATCATAGATGTGGCGACCTCCTCCTCCTGAGATCAGCTCAGGGGTGACGCACAGGACAAGGTCTCACAGGTGGCTGCATCAGAGTCAATGAGCTTCCCACAGAGAAAACCCTGGTCACAGGGGGGACTCAGAGAGCAAAGGCAGCCCCTCGGCCTCCAGCCTTAGGTAGGACTTCAACGGGATTGGTGGGAGTATGCAAGGCTGGAAGTGTGACTTGGAGCTCTGCCCACCGGGTGGACATCTGCAGAGAGGCTCATCATGGAGGAAGAGAAACAGACTTTTATGCCTGCCCAGGTGATGTGCCAGCTCAGGCATGGGGAAGAGGCCTCAGAACAAAGGTGGAGGAATCAGAAACTAGTCTTGGAAGTGGAGGCGATGCTGCTAAGGGTTCAGAAAGTCTGCCCCTCACCAGCCACCTAGGAAACATGGGCTGTGCTCTGCCCCAAGAAGCAGAGGGCTCTCCCTGTCTCTAGTGGGGGTCCTGGTGCCCTGTATGCTCTTTCCAGCTAACCCTTGTCCCAGACACCATCCTATAAAAGAGAGCAGTCTCCAGATGACAGCCTGGCATGTGGGTTAGATGGGGATTAGGTCTGCATGTGCTCACATATGTGGAATGGATACCTGTGTGGTCTCTTTCTGAGAAGACATCTCCACTGAATTCTCGTCCATGCCCAGATTGTGAAAACGTCTCCTTCTGCAAGGGTGAGAGTGGACTCAGAGAGTCTCTCCCCTCCCTACCACCTGCCCCATTCCCTCCTCGCCCAGGCTGGCCCCAGACTGCTCACTGTCTAGAGCACAGGAGAGTGGGATACTTTCTTTTCCTTCCACCCTAATCTTTTCTTCAGCAAAGACAGGACAGAGAGAAGGGAAGGAGAAAACTACAGCAAGGCGGATTTAGAGGGAAGTGGAGAGAAATTGGGGAGAAAGGGTAGGACAAGGTGGCCTGTCCCAGGCCCCAGCTCTGGACCTACCTCCAGGTGTAGCAGGCCCCCAGGCCCAGCAGTAGGACCAGGAAGCCAGCCAGCAGTCCCAGGCCCCAGAGCAGCTGATGCAGCAGACGCAGGCGGTGCAAGGCTGGAATGCAGAGGTGGGCTTAGGGGCAGCCGTGGCTCCTGGCCCAATGTGCCTTCCCAGGGTGACCCACGCAGGCTGAAACTTTATCTGTGAAGTCACCCCCTCCATGCCAGGTGGCTCCATGAAATCAGTGGACAGACAAGCTGCACTGCAGCCAAAGGGACTCAGGGAAGGAAGCCTCTGGGCCCAAGAGCTGGGCCTTCACCCAGAATGGCCTAGGGAATGGAACCCCCTTCCCTCACCTGTGGTCCCAAAGTAGGTGGAGGCCGAGGCAGAGCCCAGGGCATTGGAGGCAGAACACACGTATTCCCCCTGGTCACTAGGCCTCAGCTCCGTGATGTCCAATCTCAGGGCATTGGGGGAGGCAGAGACTTGGATGTGGTGCTCTACAGGAGCACCCTGGGGCTGGCTGGAGGCCACCAGCCGACTGCCAAGGTAGAGGGTCAGGCTGGCAAGAGGCTCGCTGTCAACCCGGCAGTCCAGGATGCCCTGGAGGCCTCCCTCAGGCTCCACAAAGACTGTCATGGTGGGTGTCTCTGGAGGGTCTATGGGGAGGAAAGGAGTGCAGTGACGCCAGAAAAACCACCACAACCCCCTCCCTCATGGTCCCACACATAGTGACTTTGCTGCTCATCCCATTAAGAGGTAGAACCCATTTCCTCACTCCTTGAATCTGTGACTCACTTTGACCAACTGAAAAAAGAAGTGACATTTTAAGACTTCAGAGCTAGACCTCAAGAGACATTGCAGCTTCTGCTCTGCTCCTGGGATGCAGCTACGTGGGAAGCCCAGGCCAACCAGTTGGGCTTATGTGGCCCAACCACCAGCCACCAGGGTGAAGCCCTCTGAGACCATCTGGCCTCAGTTGAGCCACTGGATAATTGCAACCACATGAGGTGAGACTAGCAGAACTGTCCAGCTGAGCCCAGCCCACATTCTGACACACAGAATTAGGAGCATATGATCTGGCTATTGTTTGAGGTCCTAAGTTTTAGGGTGGCTTATTATCTAGTAATAGCTGACTGATACAGAGTGGGTTCTGGTAAAGATTGAAGTGGGAGATTAAGACTGTGCTACTGGGCTCGGCGCCTATAGCTCAACCGGCTAAGGCGCCAGCCACGTACACCTAAGGTGGCGGGTTTGAATCCCCAGCCCGGACCCGC